TTTTTTTTTTTTTTTCGGACAATTTAGAGTATATACATACTCGTTTTAAAATTGTATATTAGGCAAGATTTTTTTGTGCAAATCTATTGGTGTAAATCACTGGTGTTGCAACAGTTAAAAGCCAAATTTCTTGGATAAATAAGTGTAAAAGAAAAAAAATTAAGACAGAAAAAACTGGCATATTAATTTTTAGATTCGTTTTAAAATTAGTTAAATAATTCAAGATAAAAATCTTTTCTTAAAAAGAAAAATTTGATTTTCCTTTCTCTCCTTTTTGATTCTTTACGGTTCTTTGGCTACTGTAAACCATCGATTGGAGAACAGCCAACCAATCTGTGAGCTGAAAAACATTTCTCATTCAGGTGATATTAATGGAAACAGTTGAAAAAAAAGATGACAACAAATAAAACCAAACTTTCCATCATTTATAATTGTTGGTTCTTTTATTTTATTTGCTGTTTTGCACAAAACACAAAAACAGTAGTTTTGAAAAAGCGAAGAAAAAAAGCAAGAAAAAAAAAATAGTTGCATTTTTAGAGGCAATAAAATTTAGCTAGCTTTCCTACAGAATAGAGCAACAGTTTTAACAAACCACTGATATCACCACTGATCTCAGTTTTAATAGGTGCTTAGAACAGAAAAGAAGAAACAAAAACATTTATCTAATCGACAAAATTTTTGTTTACAAAATTCAGGTTGTTTAATTTACCTTTGTTGGTGCATTATTTTCAATGTTCTAAAGCTGTTTATATTGGTTGATATTTGTAATATCAATGTGTATAATTCTTCTGGACTGTCCCTTGTCCAACTATCGTACAGCATGTTATTTGATATATGGGTAATAAAGCAAAGCCAAAGAAAATGTGTCATAAATGTTGTAAAGTTTTGAAAAAATGCCCAAAAACAGATGCAGAAAAAAGAGACGGAGCAAACAATGAAGAAAAATGAATAGAAACAGAATTTTGATAATTTGTTATACATATTTGTCATACTGTTTTACCTTCTATAGATAAGTTTTGTGCTTTTTTATTGTTTCACTGGTTATTTTCAACTCTTTCTTCCTTACTTATTTTCCCCATTTGATCTTCAATAATGTGGTTTATGTCTTTTTCTTTTTTTCCTTCATTTGTCACAGTTTTCAGTGTTTATCAGTTCAGTAAAATTTTATCGGTTTTACTCAAGCTGTATAGTAAAAAAA